TCATGGATGAAAAGGTCCAGCCATTTTTGGCACTGCTCTGGGGACCTGACCGAGGCTGACTCCCAGGCTGTTCCCATGTCCTTCAGTACCTTCCTGCTCTGCTGGGGAGCCAGCAGTGCCCACTCCCACAATTACAGGGAACGGGAGATGCGGGAGATGCCCTCGCGGTCCCGCTGGAGGAGGCTGATGTTTAGGGGTACTGCCTGAGACCCTTTGATTTTGCTCCCTGCTCCCCTCTTTAGCACATGCATTTTGTTTCCCACTAACAGGATCAGGCTTTAATAAAAACAAAAGCAGCTCTACAAGCAGCCCAAGTCCCCTGAGTCTGGAAGTATATCCAGCTGACTCCTGCCAAGGAGCTTAAGGACCGCGTAACTGCCCGTGTCCCTCTGAGGCCACTCACCCTCCTCCCGAAGTTTGGGCAGAAGCAGGATGAGGCAGGGCAGGAGGCTCCCTCAGGAAACCACAGAGGCAGCAGGTCTGGGGTGAGAGGCTCAGGGTAACAGAAAGTGAATTCAAGGGAAGAGACAGAAAAAAACCTGCCTTGAGAAACACAGAACGAACAAAAAAAAATCCCCATTCTTACTTTGCTGTCTACAACCCTCCTGCCTCAAATGAACGGATTTCTTCCCGCTCAGCCCTGCTGCTCAGGTTATCTGGCCAGGAAAGAAGCAGGGGCCCGGCCCCTGCTGCCTGTGCTGCCCCGGTCACTGCCCCCAGCAGCAGAGTCGTCCCTTCCAGCCTTAATGGTTCTATGACTCTATGAACCATCTTGCGAAGCTTGAGAATTATTACAGTGTAATTGTGAAATGTTATTTTTGAGCACTCCACAATAATCTTCCCTTTTACCTAAATGTGTTTCAGTACCTACAAAAAAAAAAAAAAAACAACATTTTTCCATGTAGGTTAAAGTTGTATTTCAAAACAGCTATTTAAGACTTGTTATGCTAAAATGTAGGGTTTCCCTTCATTAGCCTATGTTTTCTTAAAAAAGTTCCTGTTGGGTTTGGAGCCGCAGCCCTACAGGGAAAAGGAGGAGGAGGAAATGTTACACCAAGCTTTTCCAGTAACTCTCACTTCCAAGTGCCCAGAGCTTTTTGGGTCTGCATCTTCCCCTGATGTGTAGAGTTTAATGCCTAACAGATGTTTTGAGTTCTGCTCAGCAGTTACAACAGCAGGGAGGTGGCCAGCACCACCAGATCTCTTAATTCACCCCTTAGTGTGAAGTCCTGGTACTTGTGGCAGGCCCTGGGCAGGCTCAGGGGAGGTGTCTCCATGGGGCTGCAGTCTGTGTGAGCAACACAGGCTGCATCCCAAGGGCTGCTGGAGGGCTCATCTGTTGAGCCCTGGCCAGTCATGCTCTTTCCATGACTGCCAAGTTCATGGATGAAAAGGTCCAGCCATTTTTGGCACTGCTCTGGGGACCTGACCGAGGCTGACTCCCAGGCTGTTCCCATGTCCTTCAGTACCTTCCTGCTGACAGCACCCACATGGTGGGAAAAAGGGGGACCATCCAGCTCTGGGAAGTCGCTGTGGTGCTGCCAGTTCAAAGGGAGGCCTGCTGTGAATAAAAGGACTCAGTGGTATACCTAGGCTGCTTTCCTAGACTTGACTTCTTGACATCATCCCCTCCCTGTCCTTGTGGTCAGTTCATGTAAGGAAACAAAATAAGTTCCACTGAGTAGGTTTGAAGACTTATTGCTATTAGATCAGTCTGTTCCATGAATGTTATTGTTGGTTTGTGGAGCTTAAAGTGGAATTAGGTTCCCATTGTTCTTGAGGCCTTTGGTGTTGGTTTTTGAGGTCTCATTGCCATTTTGATCATCCTGTGCTGTGTACTGTGTAGGGTGTACTGTGAGGGCTCTGGAAAGCCCAAGCTATACTGGACCCTGACACCTGTGACGATGCACCTGACTTCTGTGCAAGTGGCTGATGTGATGGTAACAAGGTGGGCTGGGAGAAGTGGGTCCACAGAGCGTGTCCAAGGCTCACCTCTCTTCTCAGAAGAGCAAAATGGTTTGTCACATCCATTTGCTAGGGTAAATTACATGTTCCTGGATGGATGTTCAAAAGGTTTAATATTGAAATACATCTGGAAAAAAAGGACTGCGTATACAAGCTACAGTATCTCGTGTGATGTATTTAATATCCCTAATTTACATGCTGACAACTTAGCCATTTCTAAACAATGTTATCATTCATCTTTCTGATGATTAATCAGCACAAGCTTCAAACACCGTTTATCACACTTTGATGCAGCAATCAAACAAGAAAGGCAAGATGTTACAGAGGTGGTTTGGGTCTATTGGTTTGTTGTTTGTTGTTTTTTTTTTTCCAAAATCTTACAGTATTTACAAAAAGATGCATAGTTTTTGCTACCAGCATTCTTAGAATTATTCACTCATTCACAATTAGTCATTGTACAAAAACATCACTCAGAAATAGGTTTTAAAATACACCCACCTCCACTGCATAGTATACAGAAAAATAGGCTAGAGTCAAGACACTTCATTTTTGAATGAGAATGTGAGCTGATTCAGAGGTGCAACATTTCTGAGGAAGAAAGCTGCACTTCTCAGAAAATAATCATCTGTAGTTCTCCTGAAGCTAATGAGCTTCTTGTAGGTCTGCTGTCAAATTTCACTTTACAATTCAAGTATCTTTTGAAGCGCATTGCCATAAACACAATTCTGGCATTAAGGGCAAGCAAATAACCTTGCAATTAAAAGATTTATTCTGCAGTATCTGCATGTGGACACTGGGAAAAATCAGTTACACAAAGTAGTCCCAGGGTTCAATGTTGGGTTTGTGTGTCGTGGACCGTCCCGGGAACAACTCAATGGACCCCATTTGTTATTTCCAACTTCTGCTTGTGTGATGGAGAATCTGAATATACCCTTATACCTTTAGGATCTTTTCTTCTATAAAATTACCTTGGGTTGTGTTCAGCGTAAGAGTTAAAGTGGCAGGCTGTGAAGGGATTAGCAGGCACTGACTGTATCTATCCTCTTGATTTTCAAACAAAACTTGGTAATTTAGTAATTTAGTTATCTTGTATACTGAGAAATTTTTTGCTTTAAAAAATGTGCTCCAGTGAATTCATTGAGCTTGGTCCATTAAAGAGCAACAGGGAACTCTGAACAATAGGTGCTTGTTTTACAGCTACTGCAAATGCTTCGAAAGCACTAAATTGCCTTTTATACTGAACAGTCTAATAACAAAGACTGATTTTCTCCTTTTTTTCCCCCAATTGATTTGAAGGTTCACTTGAGCTTTAAAAACACATTACATAAATCTTCACAGCTATTACAGAAGTTTTTTGTCAGGTTTAATTTGGTGTTTTGTTTTGTTTTGTTTTCTCCTTGGTGTAATCATTCACCCTTAAGCTCACTGTACCACACATACCTGGATGGTGCTTGGTTCTGGATCCATAGGAATAATAAGTCCTAGGGGTTTATTTTGGATGGGGAAGGACCTAAATCCTTCCAAAGGCAGTCTGTTACAGAAAGCCCCTGGTTCAGATGTATATCAGAAGTGCTGAGCACTCCCAAAAGCGTTGCTGAAGGCCACGGCCTGGAAGGAACACTTTGCAGGATCAGACCCTTACAGCCCTGTTCTAGACAAGCTTATTTCACAGTGGAAGTTTAATGATGCAAAAATAACACCCTTCTAGTGACCCGCCACAGCATCCATACCTACATCCCAGCGTGTAACACCAAGGACTGTGACAACCAGACAACTAGGCAGTTAGGTGAAATGCATCTTCTGAGCTAACAGACCATGGTGCTGGCTCTGCCACCAGCCCTGCATTGAACATCAGCCCAAGGTGGATCTTTGGCTGCACTGGAGTGAATAAGTAGGGCAAAATTAGTTTTTTCAAGGATTTAATATATCTGCCACGTTGATGTTTTCAGGATTACATCACCCATTTAACTTACCTTTCAGAGGCCTTACCTCCAACAACAGCTCCATCCTCTCCTGCTATATAACTTTACTGTTTACAACTTTGGTTTGGCTTGATAGCCTGTGGTGGAAATACTAGCTAGGATTAACTGAGAGAGTGGGAGATCCATTTTCTCCCCATCTCAGAATAAATGGTAATGTGCTGCTCACCAGGCAGGGGTGTAGACAGCAACAGGTGGTAGAAAAGCACTGTTGAAAAACCTTCATAAAAGCAGTTGGGTACAAACCCCCGAAATCTGAGCAGAGAATATCTTCACCAGGAAAAGCAGAGGTTGTTAAATGCCAGGCTTCCTCATCCTACTCTCTGTGTGTTCAGATGCCTTTTCACTTTCCTCCTGTTTTTGAGGCAGAGGATTTTTATTGCTCCCTTTTCCCAGCCCTCCCCTCCACTGTGGTCCTTGAGGAAAGCCTGGCCTTTGAGGTGTGCAGGGCCAGGGCTCACTTTGAGGAAAAGGAAGAAGGAAAGGCTGAGAGAAGTAGGATGCTCTCACTGCTCTCCTGCTCATCCACCCCTCAACATTACAAATGCTCAGCAAAGAGCTCTCTGAAGCACGTGTTGGTGCTGTCTGGTACTGTAAGGAGAAGCTGGGGCTCTGCTGGAGACGGAGTAAACCGGAAAGGACACAAAGGGACAGAGGTCTGTCTTCACCCTTGAGCTTCTCAGCACCGGGAGCCAGGGGCAGCTTCTCAGTTAAAGATGCTGGGGCAAGATGCATTTGATGCTTGGAGAGCTCCACACCAGAAGGTTGTGTGGACAGGCAGCTGGGATTCTGCTCTTGTGACCAGTGCCGTAAATCTGGAGCAGCAACACCAGCTTCCCTGGATGTGCTTAGAGCAGCACAAGACACGGCTTCATGTCGTACGCAGCCCCTGTAGAAGCTGGGTGGGTCAGAGTCACGGCGCGGCACGGTGGAGAGGTAGGGGGCAACGTTCTATTAAGGAAGTTGTTATGCAAATGGAGAACTTAAAAAAAAGAAAAATAAAAAGAAAAAACCAGAACGGAGCTGCTGGTGACGCTGCCTGGCACTGTGGGGGGGTCACAGCGCGGAGAGCAGGGCGAGCAGGGCGAGCAGCGCCAGGACGCAGCTGCGGGCGGGGAGCGGGGCCGCGTCCCGGAGCAGGCATTCCACCCGGGACCAGGAGCCGTTGTTGGGCAGCGCCTGGATCCCTGCCAGCCTGCACATGATGTTGTAAACATCCACGGACCTGATGGGAGGCGCTCGGTAGTTGGATCGGAAATCTGCAGGGAAAACAGGCAGAGAGAGGGTTTGGCGTCCCCCGGCCGGCTCAGCTCCCGGCAGGCGGGGCAGCGCAGCTCGGCAAGAACATGCCAGAGCTTCTAATTCATCGGGTTTACTTCCCAACAATTTCTATCCTAAAAAACTAAAAAAAGGCCAATTAATAAACTTATTAGATACAGGAGCTACTTTACTGTGTATGCTTGGCAGATTTAATAGCCTGAAATAACTGCACGGCCCATTCTTGCTTTGCTTTTGCTCGTGTCAGGGTGCTGGGCAGTGTTACCCGCTGGTGCAGCGGGACTCGGGGCCCTCGTGCCTGCCCGCTGACAGGCTGAGGTGTGCTCCAGCCTTCCCAGGGAAAGTGCTCTGGGATAGTGAGTCCAAATCCACCAGGAAAAGCAGAACGTGTGTGCTTCAAACAGAATTGAAAAATTTAGGCCAGTCTTGGAAAACAGGGCAAAGTAATAGAGTTACTGTGCTGGGAAGTCAGAGAGGGGCTGACCAGATCCCTTTATGTCTCTCTGCCCTGTTTCTCTGGCTCTAAAACAGATACAGAGCTGGAAACCTCCCCAGCATTCAGCCATAGTGAGGAAATAATGCCATCTATTTGCAATCTTGGGGTGTCTCAGGGTGCCAAATCAGGGTCCCGATATGCCAGGGATGCTGGGGCAGGGGCCACAGGGCTGCAAGGGAGCGGGACACCAGCGATCCTGGCACTGTACCTGGCCCGTATGCGAGGAAGATGCCTCTCATGTCCATGAGCTCGTTGTCATAGCCGTGCCAGCCGTTCTGCCAGGCCTCCTTCCAACCTGTCCCATTCTCCCAGAAGGGCAGCTTGTCCCTGCTCTGGGTGAGGAAGCAGAGTTAGTGCCTGCCTGTGCTGCGGGGCAGGGCGCTGTGCCACGCTGCCCGGTGCTGCTCCAGCCCCTCCGGCCCCGCACCCTGCTGCGCAGGGCTCGGCTCTGGGCAGGGCTGCCCCTGGCTGTGCTG